AGCGCGCGTTCCTTTCCCACCGCATACACCTGCGGTTCGGAGTTTTGCAAATATCTCAGCATTATATACGAGTTACTTTTGGTCAGTTCAACTTTTGCTCAAATGTGCTTGCACGAAACAAGATGGAAACAAGACGTGTTGTGTTCTCATGCTATGCAAACAACCCTACACTTAAGATTAATGACAGCATTCGCGGAGAGTGCCTTGGAGTCATGTGTTTCCCTTTGGAAGAAAGTTGAGTATTAAACATTCGACATTGACTTTATATCTCCGTTGTGGATTTGCCTTCGCCTAGCGTTCAACGATAGGTATTCAAAGATAGTGTGGAAGTTGACTGATTTCAAAGTTGAGTCACTCAATGTGGTCTATGCGTAAAGAGAAACGAAGAAAACATCGTTTCATTTAAATGAACGACAATTGTAGATTGAACGAGGCTATGTGGAAATCAAACATATAGAGACACTGCGTTGAGCCAAAGCATTGCAAGCGTTTAGTTCCCTTTTCGGCGTATTCAAAGGAATCGCTCAATTCAGCAGCAAAAGCACTGCTTCTCATTGCTCACATTTTCAAACAGATAAAACATCATTTCGATTTATGATAAAAGAAAAATTACTTGAGATGCTTGTGCCACAGCGGTATTCCATTCGTCGATGCTGCTTGACAACACTTCAATTGTCACCACGACCGCCATTCCTTAAAATAATCATTTCCTATCTACATCAAAGGCATTAGAGTGTCAAATGAAATCGCTCTCAAGTCGGTGAAGTATTTAAGATCGGCAAGTGTGTTAGAGCTCACTCGAATTTCCGAAACACGTTAAAACAACTGAATGATGAGCGTTTCTCATCGCTTGGCACCTCGTTTCCATCTCAAACGCACGGGATTCTAATTAAGCTTTCGTCGGCAATGAGAAACAAAAATTTATTACTTGCTTCGTTACGTAATGAAAATATCAGAGTACATCAAACATTACGCCCTAAGCAAAGATCGTTCTTTATCAACAGACATCGGTCATAGTGGAATCAATCAAGTAATCTTGCGTGGGGCAACTGTTCCAGCTAAACTGGAAGTCAAAACAATATTTTTTCCTAGCCGAACAGGAGATCACCACAATGTTATGTCATGCTCAAGATCACATTTCGTCAATGAAACGTCAGTTATGGCGAAAAAACTATTTGAAAAAACAGACTTTGGCACCAAGTCTTGAAATTGCATTCATGTTTAAGGTGGAAGCGCCAGTAATCGACCTCGGTCCGTTACTCTGCTGTAGATATATAGATGATTGTTTGGTCATTTGTTCAACACAAGAAGAAATTGACAGTTGTTTCGAGTTGTTGAACGAACAGCCAGAGTATATTAAATTCACCCGAGAGAAACCAAAAGAAAACTGGCTTCCATTTCTGAACGTGCAAATTAGCCTATCAGAAAACGGCTACATTACGAAGTGGTATCGAAAGCCAAGTAGTAAAAACATCCTAGTTCATTACCTCTCCTCTCATCCCTCTCACACGAAAAGGGCGCTTGTGAGAAACATGTATCGAACAGCTACCAGCGTGTGCACAGGGAGACAACAGAGAGAGGAGTCCCTGAACTTGGCGCGACAAATAGCCATTTTTAATGGCTACGAAACTGTAGCTCGAGATAGGTGTAGAGGAAACCACAGGTACCCCAACGATAACTCTAGCGACAGACATAAGTCCCGTTTATACTGCCCTTAATTCCAAATGAAGTAAGTGCAGCTATAAAACGCTGTTTAAGAAGGGCCAGTCTAGACAATTCGGTAACGATAATCGAAATACCACCGAGTAATCTAAGACGCAAGCTAGTTCGTAACCGCCAATACGACCGTCTATGTGCAACGCAAAATTGCATAATTTGCCCCAATGGTAGAGACGGTGACTGCATGAGTTCGGGTACAGTCTATCTGATCTCTTGTAAAGCGTGCGGGGACGTATACGTTGGCGAAACGGGTAGACCACTCTGCGTACGTATAAAAGAACACCTAGTCGGCAAACGTAAAGCAAATACTCCATTAGGCATGCATAGCACGCAGAGACATAACGGAGAAGACTTTGAAGTAAGGGTTGCGATCCTCGCGCAAGAATCGAGAACACAAGCGCGCAAAACTCTAGAGGCATTCTGGATTAGTTCCAAGAATCCGAAAATGAACTGCAGGGAGGAATGCCTCATTATCACGCGTGTTATTGGACAGTATATAAACCTGTTATTCTGATGGGAGGACACATTACGCTTCCATGTGAATTCTGTGCGGTCGGCCTTCACACGACATACTCAGTGGAAGACTCATAGAAAGCGGTGAGTGTGCAGAGCTGTGTTAAATGTGATTGAAATCTTGGTTTAGCGTTTTCTCTGTTTGGTTATGGAGGTGTTTGGCCAAATGGATTGCTGTCAAGTTGACCCTTCCAGGCTCTGAGGAAGGTGAAATCCGCCGAAACGTCAGCTTGTGCGTAAACAAAGAAATAAAATAGCACCTCGTGTTTGCTGAACAGAAGTAAAAAGAATTATTCAATTAATGCCGAGGTTAATAGAAAGTCGGACTTGGGAGTTAAAACAGACTTTAATTTGAATTCCTAAGAAGGATCTCGGAATGACAAAGCAGAAGAAGAAACTTCGAGAGCAAGCGCATTACAACGAGAAAGCTAATGGTGAATGATTTGGAAAATAAACTGCAAATACGAAAAAACTATTTTTGTTTGAAATTAGATGGTAAAAGATTTGCTTTTTCGTCACGATGATAATTTATTGACAGCAGTCGATAATTTTTGATAAGTTGACCACTTGAGTACTTGACAGACCTCTAGGAGAGGCTTCTAGGTATTGCTCTAAGATCAGACGTGATTTCCCTGAAGTGTTATCCAAACTGCAACTCTTCTTAAGATTTAGGTCGTTAGAAAATTGAGAGCGCGATTTAAATTTCAAATTTTCCACGCCAGCGTGGGACCCGTGCACTTCAGTGATCCATTGGAGGATAGCATCGTGGACAGAAGACCTATTGCTCGAACAAATCCCGCCTTTTAAATCGGTGTGCTGCTCGAGGTAAAAGTCTTAGCGATAAAAAAAGCAAACTGGCAACTGGCAAAGAGGAAGAATCATAGTTTCACTGGAGTTGAATAGGCGAGCTCTGCCTTATTGAAAGAGACGAATAGATTCCGACAGTTTCTGATTTAATTAATATAGTGCCTTGCTGCGAACACGGAATACTTTCGGTCATAACAGTTTGCAAAAAAATTATAAGACGAGCCCATTTAGTTTCGTGAGTCCGGCGGAAGTTACATTGCTGTCGTTAAGATTTATTACCACCTGATGATGAAGGGACTATGATGTCTTTACCTTCTCTACCACATAGATACGAATACACGGGTACAATGACGAGCTCCTTATTTTATTTCAGCCGATTTTTTCCTTTGCTATTAAAAAATTTCGCAAATCTATAAATTAAGATTTTATTTTATATAAGTGCAAGAAGTAGGGAAATAATTTAATCTTCCAGGAAACAATATTTCCAGTAAAAATGTCGCTATTACTAACTGCGACACTTGGCCACTCTATTCCGTCTTGCTTGATTTTCACTTCGACATTCACATTCGTGCAAACAAATCCGCATATATAATTCCTTGATGCTGACAGAAAATTCAACGCAATTCACTGTGTTGTGAGTTAGTGAGAGGTAATCACAAATCACTTAGACGCTTAGACGAATCACTTAGATATGCCTGGAGTAGACACCAGAGTTGCGCTTTGTCACTACGACAGCAGTTCAGGAGTAATTGGTCTGATTCGTTCTCAGAATACAACATCATATACAGTCCTTTTCACTTCGAGTATATGTAGTTGGCCTAATTGAGAGACCAACCACTAAGAACTAAGCTTGAAAGTAAAGCACCAAAAGACTTGTGCAATGTTTCAAACTGCATTCCTACACAACGAACTCTGCTGTCTTGACCGCTTCATAATGTTACATACAATACTACTGATGAATTACGACTTGTCAGATTTCTCTGCAAAAAATGTTTTTAAAAGGTCTATGCACACTGCTATCTTGCTGCAATTGCTGCTGTGTCGTTGCGACCCTTTAGCTGAATCAACTTAATGCTGCGAACATAAGCGTATAGCAATTAAGGATTCGTGGATGAGGCAAAAACAATATCTAAAAATTTCTCGGAAACCCTTGGCAGAGCAGAACAATAGGGTTGTCAACTCAGCTTCTAGCTTTCATGGTTTACTTCTCAGTAAACTTGCAGTCTTTAGCAACTCTACAATTTCAGAAAATGACGTTGTTAGAAAACACGCCTAGGAAAGAGTTTACACTCGCTCGTTTTAAATTCACGACCTTACAAACTATCATTAATGCAATCTGGTTAAAAAGATGAGATTCGTCAATTCACTGACGATCTATCTTAAAGACCATAACACATAAGAAAGGGATAAAGGATAAAGGCTTTGGCGTTGATCAATCCCTGAGGGATGCGCCATGCATTCTCCTTCATTAAGTATCGTTGGAGGTGACTGAATACATATCTGGCCTTTACAATGACTCGCGATGGCCTACCGATGTATCAAGCCAATGCTGCTATCCTCTCAGACAAGTCTGGTACCAATTTGCTGACCCTGGAGAGATGGAAGGCTTGGTGGGTCATGGGCGAGGGAATCGATTCCACGTGTGGAGTGGCGCCTACAACCACTGCGTCACACGCACCCTTTCACCTTTTGTGGCACATATCTTTCGAAAAGTTGATAACGAAATGAAACCATACCTGGATAATCGAATATTTGAATTAAGAGTCTAGGTGTGCGCATAATGAACTGACGTGAAGTGCATTTGCGAAACGACCAGTCTTCACTACTTACGTTTAATTATCAATGGATTATTTTGAAAGAATTTTCTGGTTACCATAAGAGAATTCCTTACAACGTAATATATGAAAATAGGCCTCGGTGCATCTTTTGGAGGTTTGGATTGTAACGGAGAACTACGTCGACTAACCTATGAGGAGAAATAAGCATGCTACGAGACGTTTGTAGACATATCGATGATGATAGAAGGTGTAAAGAGCCAACGTATCTGTAGACAAAAGGAGAAAAAGAGCGATCATTCCAATAGCTGCTTGGGCTCGGTAATAGTCTAAAAGAATACTAATCAATTTGAATCCAAGGAAAAGAATAAAGAAAAATGCGGTATCAAATAGCAACACGATTTCCAGATGTTGTTCTTGATTTGTCGTTGTCCATGGAGGTGACTTATTTCGAGCACGGGAGTGGTTTATGATTTAATATTTTTAAATCCTGTCTCAGCAATTTTTTTGTTTAGTTACGGAGGTGTTTGGCCGTGCAGATTGCAGCCAACTTGACCTTTCCAAGCTCTGAGGAAGGCGAAATCCGCCGAAACGTCAGCTTGTACGTAAATAAAGAAATGAAATAGAACCTCATGTTTGCTAAGCAGAAATAGAAAGAATAAATGCTTTTTGTTTATTGCACATGCCTCATAATCTCTGGTCTAGTGCACTTTTGAATGATTTTCATACGCTTGAACCGTCAACTGCTGAGTACATAAATATTAAGCTGTATATGTTAAACAGTCAAAAACCATATGGGAATGACCGCAAAGAACCCACGAAGTTTAAGATCGTTAGTGTTTCGTGGCAAGTGGGCTCGGATGACCTGCAATGGTATTCAAGCACCCGAAGAGGATGTGTTATGAAATATGGAACAAGTGCACGGCACAAAACACGGGAAGAAGGACGAAGACAGAATAAAACAAAAGAATAATCACTGAAAGAATAATACTCCGAAATAACACTGCAGATTAATTGATGTCGATTAGGAAGCAGTTTGCAGTTGACATATGGCAATCATTGATCATCGTAGGGCGGCTTCCGTGTTAGCTTAATGTCCAGATGTGTCGGAAAGATTCGCACATGCCAGCTCGTATAGGCACAGCACAGTAGTTGCATGTTTTAGATTTTAGATACAGTGACTCTTAATATCCTGTATCTCTTTATATTTATTGTTCAAAGCCAATTTCATTGTTACTCGTGCAGGTCTCGACTAGAAGTTCTACACAATTGAGAATGAGTTAAGCTTACGTTTAAGATCTGCATCAGCCAGTCGCGCGACATTCTCGGGTGGCGTGGGAAAATGAGGGATCCATTCCACTGCAAAATGAATATGTTATAATCTATACTGAGGTAATTACACGGAAATCTAACAGAATAAAACGTGTAAAAGTAATTTTACACACAAGCAATGCCTGTACCAGTTTTATGTGTAGCATTCTTCACTGTTCTCCATTCACCCCAAACACCTAGTTGTACGTGAACGTGTTGATACTCAGTGTTCATGAAGTCTAACACGGCCCAGTTAGGTGTTGCCAATGCAGCGACCAGTACAACAACCGCAATCTGAAACTCATTCAGTCTTCTCTCTCGTTCACTAGGATATATCATTTCCCTTGCACTTGTAGTCACGTTCTCTTTCCTAGCAGTCGATGATAAACGCCAATATATTATAACGGCAAAATGTTGCTACTAACAATGACCCTGTATCACCAATGACTTTCTGAGGTTATATTTCTCATGGTAGATCAGATGTGCTAACAAAAATAAAATATAAAATGACTGAATCGAACTTCTTCTTCAATTTATATAACCTTTCCTGTCTCATGCAGACAACTATATGCTACTGACGATTGAATTACGTCGATTTATAGTTACGAGACAATCATGCTGAAGTGTTTTCGGGTAGTTGCGAAAGGTAGCCGACTCGTATGTAATTCAAGCAGATTTCGGACATATTAAAAGAAAGACATACCCACAGTGTGGCAATAAATTCTGGCGGTGCTAATTTATTCCACGCCAGGAATTTCAGTAAGTATGATAGTTAGCCTAACAAATAGTGTATATTTGTTCGCGAAAGCAAAATTTACACCGAGAAGCACTCTGTTTAGGTGGGGTACTTTCGAAGCAGACTTTCAGACAAAGTTTTACAAACAACAGACCCATGCAACAATGGTAGCTACTGCCATCAAACGTCGTCGCCAAATCATTTTGTGGTAAGACTGCATGTTCAAGATTTGTGAATCCCGTAAATCGACTGCCTTGTCGAGTAACTGCATAACGTTCGCTGCTATTCTAGATCGATGCGGCTAATTCTGAATGTGTAAACAAGAAAAGCCTTAAATGAATGGAATTTAGTATAAACAAAGTCATGGATGTGTGGCGATGAATAACGCAAAGCAGTAAATGCTTTAAGAAAGACATGAAAAGGACCAATTTCAGAAGTAATTAAATGGCCAACGCGGCGAACAGGACTAATTAACGCTGTAATTAAATGATCAAAGTAGTCGAAACAAGCAATTTTCAATCCAATTAAGTCGCCTTGCATCAAGAGGTACCTCAACTATTAATCAGAGAGAAAGAGAAAAGAATCACCAGGGAAGACAAAAGAGAAGTATTTGAGAGAATGAAGAAAAAATTGGGCAATTTTCACAAGACGAGCAAAAAGTATGTGGTGAATTGAAATGTGAAACTCAAGACATACGAATAAGTGGATTATGTTTCTATACCGAAAGCGCATCGAGATAGCGAACACACATTTGAGACCGGGACACGGACGAGTGGTCCGACAAGGGGCGGGGCTTCGAGGTTTGTCACGAAATACGGGCAGGCAAATGAGAACCAGATGCAAATACAAAGCTATAGGTTTCACTCACTCATTCCGAAGTACAAAACTCGTGACCTATTGTTGTGGTTGGATACAAACAGATATTATGGTTCATATGACCGGGTTATACGTCACTGATAATTATTTTGCACATTGAAACTAAACCCACACGTATGTCAGCTGATGTTGCGCTAGTAATCATTCTACTCATCTCACTACCTGCCGCCTTTGCCTATCCGTCTTTGCCAGCAATACATGAGTTTAGTTCGCCCATTAGTTTGAAATGGAACACGTTTAGAAACCACGAATCAATCGTTTTCCTAGTTTTGTCGTGAGGATCGTAACTCGAAAGAAATGCGATTTAGTAAGTTGGATTCCGTTTAAATAAACACAATAATGTTCCCAAATACGTCGTTGGTACTACCGCTTTCTGAACTGGTGTTGGAATTAAAAGTTACTTTGTTGTCATTTTATTGAACTAGATAAGATTTTTAAAGGGTTTATATGTATATATATGTATATATATATGTATATATATATGTATATATATATATGTAATTACTGGCAACTATTCAAAGTCACCAAAGTCACCTCCCAACGGTTTGCCACCCCATCGTGGCTGGGAGGTGTTCCTGGGTGTCAGACTGCGATGTACAGCGGAGGGATTCGTCCCCCCGGCAGGGTCTCCCAAGCTGAGAAGGAGTCCGACGTTTCCATCACGAAGCCTAGCTTAGAATAAACCAATACCAGAATCCGTCACCGTCCTGGTATCAAAGTCGCTTGGTGGCGAATATCGCTCTGATCCACAAGGGCTGCGGCTGCCCGTGGTGGTGAAGACTTGAAGCAGACCTTGGCAAGGCTGACCTTGGGACTCCAAGAAACTACAATGGTTTAACCAGGAAGTTCCGAAAAATTGTGACTGTGCTGGAGCACGCACAACCACTGAGGACAGGCCGTTCAAATATCAAGTATTCGAAGTCAAATCAGGCATTCGAAACAGTAGCCAAATTCATCAAAAAGGTAAAGAAGCGGGTTAAAGACGTCATCCAAAGAAGTTTTTTCTACTGTCATTCCAATCGCTCAATAATCAGTAGTCAGTCATGAACGAAGCTGTCCACATACTATCCGTCCTAGAGCAACGACAAGCGAGAACAAAGGCATCGAAAGTTGAGCACCAGTTTAATTACTAATTAAACAAACTTATTCAAACCGAAAAATAGATACAGAAAACTTCATTAGGTTCTCCGGAAACTAATATGCGCTTTCAACCTCTATGTTAACAGTGACATATACTACTTTAGGACAAACTTTATTAATCGAAATAAAAACGATTGGAATGTACACAGTGTTGCCAACGAGAAACGCGTTCATTTATATCGGTTGCTTAGAATTTTGGACTTCTGCGGACGTTGAACTCGCTGAAGGCAGTTTCGTACTCGGCTTAGCCTTCCTGTTGACCAGTTCGGGCGACAGCCGCTGATGTTATTGGTGTATTTTGTTCATTTTCTGGATGTAGTTCTCTGCTGTAATATTGCTACCCCCCTCCTCCCCTGATGTAGGTAGTTTTGAAGGATTAGGCTAGAAGAAAACCACCAAACGGTCAACACTACTTTATTTTGGCCCAAATTCGGTTTTCCGAACTGCTGCGGAGCTTCAGCACAGTCCAACCCTTGAGCCGATCGACGTCGGTTATCATAAAATATGCATTTTTCTGCGAACGTCGCAATATGGTTGATAAATAAGTTCTTCTGGTTTCACAGATGCAGCGCCGACGATGCCTCAAAGTGGAGACTTCCTCGATTGTCATTTAATTCGTGCGCCATCCATTTGTAGAAGTTGTTCGACTTTCCAGTTACCTTTAGATTTCCGAAGAAGTTGGGATGTCTATACTAAATTCATCTCCAAGTTCCTGATTAGTTGTGCAGGACTTTGCTCGCAGGAACTCCTTCAATGAATTGTCGTCAATAGCAAAAGGACGTTGGTGATCTCTCAATCTGCAAGGGCGAATTTCTCACGACAAAATTTCGAAACCAACGTCGACGAACTGTGCGTTAATTAACATTTTCTTGTCCTCATGCTATTCTATAGAGCCGTATGGATTGACTGCATACATATGACTTTGAATCCGTGAAAGTAACTTTTTTGGAGTTTCTGCTTAGATACGAGTATAAAATGCCGTCCTTAAGAATTCGCCGAAAATACAATTTATATTATAATCCAATTATGCAAAGCGAAAGAGCACAATACAAGCATTCGAAAAGCTAGTGCAACATAGAAAAGAACTCTTTGTAGATCACATACAAAGAAAATAAAATTACAAATCGGACTTTAATTTCAGGTTAACCTTATGGAGGATTGTGGGTTTATCGTACGTGATGGAAATGTCATTCAACTGATAGTGATGGTGGGTGGGAAAGAATAACAAATGTTAGCTTTCGATATCGGCGTGTTTAATCAAGGGGAAGAGTGTGAGTTAAAGGATGATTGATTGTGTGCGCGTAAATAAACTTTCGAGTGAGTTTGTTGACTTCGACCACGATAGAATAACAGATCTCTGAATGTTTTGTGTGGAATGTGGTGAACGTTTCAGAGTTGTCAAAAATTAAGTTGGTCACAGACTTCCAGAATAGTAAATGTTGCACAAAAATCAGTAAAACCTTTATTTTGCAAGGTTCGATTTACGAATACAATGAACTAGGCGCTAAATATTTGTTGTAGACAGAATTATTCGAACAGCTGTTGAACATCGTACGACATCCGCCGACATCGTTTAAACGCAAATTCACGCTATTGCTTTAATTAAAGTACTTTCCTAGAAAAGCGATTAATGAGCTAAGCAGAAAGTCCCTCAGTATCGTTTCAATAGTGTAAAACACACAACGTTGTAGCACACGTCTTATTATTACGAAATGGTCGTAACACAGCTGGATGTTATATTGTGAGTGTTCTGAGGAGTTGATGAATACTACAGCGGCAAGTTTCGCCATATTCATAGCTACAAATGCTTCAAAGGAAGGTGTTCGGTCAGCCATTTCCATCGTCTCGACAAACAGAGTGGTTCATATAATCACCAGTGGCTATGAAGCGCAAAGTGGAAGGAATCTAGCGGATTAATCTCCTAATTCAGAATGCGAAACGAACGAGGGAAACAATCAGTCGCCTCGTACCTTCTGAATGTAGAATGATTATATGGCATCGAAGAGTGCTTGAATTGCTCAGACAGAAATTTCGTAGTGTTTTCAGGGGATTCTTAATAACACATCAGTCAAACTAGCAATTACTAAGCTTATATTCGTATTATGACAATGTAAGCGATGAAATCCGAGTTTCATCTTATTAGAGAGATTTCCATCAAATATTGCAATGGGAGATGCTGGACGAATTTGGACATACATTATAAGATGGTCATAGTGAGGCAGGTTTCTCGACAACGAAGACAATGGTTTCATTAATAGGTAGTAAGAGTATTAAAAACTTAGAAGCATTACCAAAGAAACTTTATTAAACTTGTCTGGAATGTAAGCTCCCATAAATCGAAAAGGAAGTTTAAATTTTCAACTATTTCCGTTTCAGCGCATCAGCCATAATAACTAACGGTACATTTGGGAACATCATGGCATCTGCTGGAGTAAATTCGTATTGTTCATCTTCTTTCGGGTTCGGAAGACGAGCCTTTCCGCAATAGAGTGGAAGAAGTGTAAGTGATGAATTCAGGAAATTCTCCGTTTCATCTAATAAGCTGAGATCTATATTCTACCAGGTTTGCTTCAGTTAATACAATCTAGTAGGACCTGCTGCATATCGATTCAATGTTTGAAGCGGACAATATTTTTGCGTCACATGTATTGAAATCCGCGCGCATTATCAGCAAAATATTGATGTTGATGAGAATATGATTAATTTCTTCACTTGTAATTTTTACTTATCACTCCAAACACGCTTTTGTTTCAAAGGCTCAATAGTGTAATAAAAGAAGACTAGCATTGTTTAAATTCTTTCACCCAAGTGGTATTTTCTGAGCATTTTGAAAGAGCATAGGCTCGATAGCAGATACAATTCCGAATCGCTTTTTATTTAATAGGGTTGTTTTGTCCGTAATGGTTTCGTATATTACGAATTCACTGGAGAATAACTAGTTTGAACCCAAGGAACCGACAGAGTAGTTGCTTTCTCTAAATTCGTTTGTGATATCGACACAAGCGCTATTGTTTAGTAAAGAGTAACAATATTACTTTTGAAAGCGCATAGAAATAAGCGTATAAGGTAAATGAAGCTGAGTGCTCCATTAGTTCGGTTGTGGATTTTGAAGAGATTCTAATTTTTGAAGCAAATTATTAAAACAAGCAAGAAAAACAAAATTAAGGAAAGTCGGCCAAATCGTATCTCTTACGGTTTCCTTTTAATGTTCAGAGAGGTAAATCCTAGGGCCAAATTTCTATTATCGTCGAAGCT